AATAACTTCTTTGGGTTACTGGTATTTTACAAGTAATTTACATCATTACTTTTAGTTCTGTAGAGCAACAAGAAAATAAACAGACACTTGGATTAATCCACAGCAGCACTGTCTATGCCCTAACGTCTATGCTCCCAAATCTACATCACAAGGATCTTCTAGACTAGAAGATTGGTAACGTCCATGTATAGGATGGAGTCCTCAGATTTCTGTATATCTTACTGTACTCTTAAATGTTCTCAGGCATATATATATCTATATCTATCTATATCTCTATCTCTATCTCTATCTCTATCTCTATCTATATCTATATCTATATCTATATCTATCTATTGCATTGATTTTAGAGAAGAAAGGAGAGGGAGGGAGAGATAGAAACATCAACAATGAGAGAATCACTGATCAGCTGCCTCCTGCACATCCCACACTGGGGATTAAGCCTGCAACCTGACCGGGAATGGAACTGTGACCTCCTGGTTCATAGGCCGATGCTCAACCACTGAGCCATGCGTGCTGGATGATTATTATAGATTTTGATTATCTGTACTTTTCTTTCACAGCACTTACTATAGTAGTATTGCATAGCACTTACTATGCAGCTAATATAGTGACTAATGTTCGCCCGACACACCCATCAGTTGAAAGCACCAGGGGCAGAACCAATTTCTGTTATTCCTCCACTGGATTTACATTCCTGGGACATGATAAACATTTGTTAATGAAACAAGTGAAGGGAAGAGAGGAAGGGAGGAAACCCGAGAGCAAAAGATAACCCTTTCTGTTTCCTATGGTCATTATGAAGATCCATTTTTCCCCCCACAAGATGTAGCTTTAAATTCTAAGAAAATAGAAATTTTAAAAAGTTTTGCTTTTAACTTTGTCCACTTAGAGACTCAGAACCCTCCACACATAAGGCACACTCTGATGAGATGCACTAGGCAATCTTTGAGGAAAAACCCTTATTTGAGATGCAGGATCATGTCCGAGTCTCTATCCTGTCTTCAATTCTTTCCAGTGTGAATTTAAAAAATAGCCAGTAACCCACCAAGATGTCAGGTAGCCTACCAAGGAAATGTAATAAAGGTGAAAACCCCAAAGTCAGACAGTGGGTATTGCCATTCCTACAGAATCAAGATTTCTGAAGGAAAGCGCAACTGCTCAAATGGAAAAGGAAAAGTCTTCTAGGGTGCCGGTTTAAGCTCTGCTATTCTACACATTAAATCTTGCTAACGGGTGGTCCAGGACCAGCCCGAGCAGCATGGGCTGGGAGCCAGTGAGAAAGGCAGAATCCCAGGTCCCACACAGGACCTACTGAATCAGAGTCTGCATTTCAACAAGACCCCCTTCTCCAGTTGACTCATGTGGACATTCAAACTTCAGGTGCCTTGCATGAAAAAGCAAGCACCATGCACAAGCCTAAATAGCAGACAAACTAGAAAAAAAATTACTACTACTCATGACAAAGGATAGCTATAGGTAGTTCATATAAACCAGCAAGAAGATTATAAAGAACCTCTTTGAAAAACAGATAGGTGATTAACAAAAACAACAAAAGAAAGAATGAACTTGTAAACATGTTTTTCACTAGGAATTAAAAAATTCAAATTGAAATAATAAAATATTTGAAAATATTACCCATTCTTGTAGAAGAGATTTCAAGGCAAAAGGTATGCTCTCTATTGTTGGAGGACGTGTAAATTGATACCAGTTCCTGGTGTAAAATTTGACATTATTAAATGTCTTAAATTGTAGAAATCATTCCCTGGCCGGTTTTGCTCAGTGGATAGAGCGTCGGCCTGCAGACTGAAAGGTCCCAGGTTCGATTCCAGTCAAGGGCATGTACCTTGGTTTCGGACACATTCCCAGTGGGGGGCGTGCAGGAGGCAGCTGATCGACGTTTCTCTCTCATCAATGTTTCTAACTCTCTATCCCTCTCCCCTCCTCTCTGTGGAAAAATCAATAAAATATATTTTTAAAAAATTGTAGAAATCATTTGATCCAGAAATTTCAATTATGTCATATGTTTATAAAAATCAAACTGAGACATAAATACAGTTATTGTAGCATTATTCACAATGTAGAGATTTGGAAGCACCTTAAATGTTCAATAATTAAATAATCTGTTATAATGCATCCAGATGCAATTATTATTCTGTTTTTATAAGTCATTCTGTAGAAGAACATCGAATGAACCGAGGAGAAATGTCCTTATATATAAACATCCAGGTGTGTAAACCTACTGGAAGGCTACACATCCAATTGTTAAGAGTGATCTATACTGAAGGAGAATGGGCCACTTTCTTTGTATGTTTCTATGTTTTCAAATTTGCTGCAATGCAGCCATATTACTTTTCTGAGTCAAAAATAGCAAACTTTACTAGTGGTACGCTAGGGTCAGCTTATACCAGCTCACAATAGCCAATTGTTAAATTTTGAGAAATTTTGTGAGCCAGCTGTTAAGCACAACACTTTAAAAAAAATAAATTACATAAACTTACAATTAAATAAATTACATTAAAACAAAGGCAATAAATAGTTAAAACCCACCATTCCTGATCATCTTACTGTATTATCTAAGCCTATTGCATCTGTATGGTGGAAATGTTACATAATGGTGTGCTGCTGCGCATCTCTCCCCAACTTTGTACTCAGTGACATTATGATGGAGGCTTAAAATCAGCCTTAGTGAGAGCATTTACACCAGGGACATTGGTATACACTACCAATCAGGGCTTTTTTTTCTTTTCCCCAGAGAGCTACTTGTTAAAAATGTATCAGCATACCACAGACTTTACGTATTTCTTGAGAAAATAGAACGTGACCCTTTTGAGGAGGTAGGGGAGGAGAGAAGAATTCTATCATGAGAAAATTAGGGAGAGGAACAAAATTAAATTGGTTTGATCCTTCCAGGGTTGTTTCACATAAAAACGATGGACTTGAATGCTCTCTGAGAGCATACCCATGCCTTTCTTCCCTCAGAGGCCTGCATCTTCACTTTTCTCTCTTAAACCCAGGAGACTTGCAACCAGGGGAGCAGTGGGCAGTGGCAGCTCATCCCTCACTAACCCCCTGAACCTGTCCCCAAGGCCTCCTTTTCTCTGAGTTTTCCATGAGCTAGGCTCTCTCCTGTTGCTACTTCTACCCTAAGCCCTTCCTTGTTTCACTGTCCCCAGCTTTAAGAAATATACTCTCAAAATAAATAAAAATACAAAGGTGGATATGGTGGTATCAGTTCTCACACCAATTAGATACTGCAATTCGAGCCAACACCAGTCTAGCACCTGTTCATCTTCCTTTCTGCAGCCTTGGTTTTACGCTACAATCCAGCCAAACCGCTCAGAGACTTCCTGGTCTGTAAAGTAGGGGAAAAGGTAATGGCCTTACTTAATCATCAGAGCTTTGCATGAAGCAAGCTGCTCAACAAATGGGACATGTTCTGAGAAATGGCTTTAGGTGATTTTGTTTTTGTGCGAACATTACAGAGTTCACTTACACAAATCTGGGTGGGATCGCCTACTACACACCTAGGCTGCATGGTGTAGTCTATTGCTACCAGACTACAAGCCTTCACAGCGTTATTGTACAAAACAACAGAAGATTAAATCAAGCACAAGGGAAATGATGCAATCAAGAGATGCAGTAAAATGAGATGTCTGAGGCTACTGCCAGGATAACGCGGCATACTGTTTTAAAGCAAACTGTTTTATTTCCAAGTAGAAAGAGTACACTCTAAAATGATGATAAAAAGTATAGGACAGTGAATACGTAAAACAGTGACATAATCGTGTTTTGTTTTGTTTTTATCCTCACCTAAGGATATTTTTCCTATTGATTCTTTAGCAGTGGTTCTCAACCTTCCTAATGCCGCAGCCCTTTAATACAGTTCCTCATGTTGTGGTGACCCCCAACCATAAAATTATTTTCGTTGCTACTTCATAACTGTAATTTTGCTACTGTTATGAATTGTAAAGTAAATATTTGATATGCAGGATGTATTTTCATTGTTACAAATTGAATATAATTAAAGCATAGTGATTAATCACAAAAACAATATGTAATTATATATGTGTTTTCCGATGGTCTTAGGAGACCCCTGTGGAAGGGTGGTTCGACCCCCAAAGGGGTTGCGACCCACAGGTTGGCGACCCACAGGTTGAGAACCGCTGCTTTAGAGAGAGTGGAAGGAAGGGGGAGAGGTAGAGAGAGAGAAACATCAATGTGAAGATATGAGAGAGAGAAACATCCACCGGTTGCCTCCCCCACGCATCCCGACCAGGACCATCCAGACCAGGGCCAGGGATCGAGCCTGAAACCAGGTATGTGCCCTTGACTGGAATCGAACCCAGGATGCTTCAGTCCATAGGCCAACACTCTATCCACTGAGGCAAACCGGCTAGGGCACATAGTCATTTTTTAACGTGTTATGTACTGTACATAATTGCGTATGTTACACCTTCAGATGACTGGCAGCTTTTTGTGTCCAAGAGCATCATCACAAGCACCTGAGCAGCGCACTGCACTACCACCTTACACAGCTAGGATGAAGACGTCACTAGGCAATAGGTGTTTTTCAGCTCCATTATGATATAGTGAGACCACAGTCCTATGTGTGGGCTGTCATTGACCAAAACGTCCTTATGTGGCACATGGCTAGAATATATTTGAAAGAACATTGAAAACCATGAAAATATGGGACATGCTTATGATATTTATCACATTAAAAGGCCCACAGATGTCTTAGAAAGTAAAATTAGAACCAAATGTGTTCATATTCATAACATATTAATATTGCATTAGTTTTGAAAACATTTTTAGCCACCAAGAGGAATTATCCTAATTTACACTCTTCTAAAAATATTATTTTAATAAAAATGTTCACAAGACCCCAAAAGCCCAAATTTTATCCCTCTGCTTAACAGACCCCGATGTCATCAATGCCCCGATGGGTTTTTTGTGATGTAGTAATTAGTGTACAAAAAGTGCGTATGTGTTCCAAGTACCTGAGACTACAGAAGAATCCGTAAAAGATGATTCCACTGAGTTGCTTTGAATGTCCCAGGCATCTTTCTCTGGACTTGACTGATCTGTGGCTAAAAGGAGTGGCTCTTTTTCTTCAGGACTGTCTTCTTGTGATGAATTCTCACTTCCTATGAATAAAAGCATTAGAATGTAAAACATAGCACAATGCAAGTTTTCATGCCGTGTACAAAAGACCATTACTGTTATTTTGAAAATGAAATGGGGGTTCCTAATAGAGACTTAATTGAATATGCTTCAATACCTTGAAATTCTAATCAGAATATATCAGACCATCAAACCTCAGAGGGAAGGTAGGGGAGGGTGGGGGTAAGGGGGAGAGATCAACCAAAGGACTGTATGCATGCAGCCTAACCAATGGACACAGACACCAGGGGGGTGAGGGCATGAGTGGGGGATGGGGGGAATGGGGGGATAAGGACACATATGTAATACCTTAATCAATAAAGAAAAATATTTTAAAAAATTGTATTACCATGGTAAGCTTTTATACACTATAAATGCCTGTTATTGTTACTCTGAAAACCAAGTTGGGGTTTCTCTTAGAGATTTGCCCAAATGTACTTCAGTACCTTCACATTTTGAAAGGCCTGGGATGTGTTTTTTGTTCTGACACAGTATTTTTATTATTAATACGGGCATAATGAGTAATTCTTTGCAATGATCAAATTTTGCCTAAAAAGACAACATGATATTATACCAGTCACAGGAAAGGTGTGTGACGATTTCCTATCTGATCATCACCTTTAGGAAGTAAGCCACGTATTCAGGGATGCAAAGCCACATTTAAGGCTGAATTAATGAAATGCAAATTGGGTGGTGGTTTTTCTTTAGCTTGTGCTCTTGCCATTTGTTCCCTCGCTGTGTGTTTTACGGGAGATGTACATATGCTTTAATGTCAGCCTGAATGCATGTATTCTGAATTTCTGGGGATTTTTAAAAATTCAATAAAATATTCTACATCCTTTCTTTCTTCTTTCCTTTATTTCCCCAGTCTGGCCTTGCTTCCTTCAACCCACATATATTGAGCATTTTCTTAAGGGACTACTTGTTTACAAAGAAAAACAAGATTTTCTGTCCTTCTGAAGCTGCAATCTGTCAGAGAAGACTGATCCCATAAAGAAAAAATTTAAGTATCATTTTGGATTAGGTCATCTTACAAAATAAGGGGCAAATGAGTCATGTGTATAAAGAATTTCCTGAAAAACTGGTGTGTCTTTGGCCAGACAACTTGACAATGTATGCAGCTACATATTAACTATGTTTGTAGTTTATAATCCTAATAGTCAATTGTTTTGGGCTTACTATATAAGCACTTTGCATAGGTTAAATAATTTAATTCTCAAAATAACCCTAATAAATAAGTAACATTATTATCCCCATTTCACAGAGAAGTAAACTGAGGCATGGAGAGGGCAAGTACCTGGCCAAAATCACACATTCAGGGACGTAAAGGAACAAGAACTCAATAAGCATAAGGATTCGGAGCCTAGGCCACCATAACAAAATGTTATAGATTGAGTGTCTTGAGCAACAGAATTTCATTTTCTCACAGTTCTGTGGATTGGAAGTCCAAGATCAATGTGCTAGCAAAGTTGGTGTCTGGTGAGAGCTCTTGCTCTTTATTTAGGTTGCAAAAGATCGCCTTCTTACTATGTCATCACATGGGGGGGGGGGCGGGAGTGGAGAGAGAGAGAAAGGGAGAGAGAGAGAGAGAGAGAGAGAGAGAGAGAGAGAGAGGAGAAGAAGAAGAACAAAAAGGAGGAGGAGGAGGAGGAGGAGGAGGAGGAGGAAGAGTAGAAGAAAATATCTCTTCTTCTTCTTATAAGGCCACAGTCTTATTGTATTAGGGCCCGCCATTTTTACCTCATTTAACTTTAATTATCTCCTTAAAAACCCTATATCCTGATACAGTCTCATTGGGAGTTAGGACTTCAGCATATGAATCCAGTCCATAGCCGCTCCTACCACAAGAATAATCACAGCTAACTTTCTGGTCAATAAGACCTATTAGGAAAATGCTTAGATTCCCATGATAAGATGTACTGTTCAGCAAACAACACTGAAATTCCTGGTCTGCTGATTAGATTTCCTTAAGAAATAAAAATTCAGTCCCACTTGTTTGGAATGAGTTGGCGGGGGAGTAGAAGAATGCTGAGCCCCAGACAGAGATCAGCATTTGCCATTTGACCTTCGAAAAGAAGCTTAGAGATCCATGTCTCTTCTGCTCCCTGCCCTCATGAGAGCCCCCATACCTGAGTCACCATCCATCATCATCCCCTTTGGTCGAAAGAGGGAGAAATCCCAGGACCCTGCCATGGGCCCAGGGAGGGATAGAAGGGTGAATTGGTGTCACTGTTTTTCTTTTCACAAGGACTCTCCACTTTTATCAAATGTTTGGCCTGGCCAGTCAGGATATACACATGAGCAGAGAGAATCTGGATAAACTAGTCCCCAAGTCATTCTGAAAGAAGCATCAAGACAAGGTTATTGCATATAATGAGGACAGTAACGAGGAAGGTATGTGAATATTAGGTGGAAGTGATAAGGTGTGTTTAACACAGCTTTTACGTGAGATTTACTATACATACTCTCCATAGGCTGTTATTGTTCAAAGAACTAAAATTTGAAAAAATATGTTAAACTTCTAACAAGGCATTTTGTAAAGTAGAATTTAAAAAAAGATCTTAGCAAGAAATATTGCCAGACATGCTGTCCATGTACAGAGAAATCTAGAAGACACTTTGTGGCAAATCTTCTAGACCCTTTCCTAAACAGTTATGTCACTGAACACAACTGCAAAATGGATAGGTACCCTCTAATTTGGGGGATGTATATGAGAAGGCCTTTTGTGATGTTAAAGGCTGCCCTTTCTAATACCCTTTGATACACTGAGGCTAAAATTTCCCTGGGGTGAAAACCAAACTGTAGTCATTTCCTTCTGAAGTTTAAGTCCTAGAATGTTTGTCCTGAATGGAGGTGTTTGCATGGGGTCTTGAAAGGAAACTCATCATGAGATGGGTGGTCTGGCCTGGCGTCCAGCTCATCCATGAGGTGTGTAGGAAAAATCTGGCGCCATCATTGTATGCAGCTTTGGCTGGAAGTACCTCTAGATTTAGCAAACTGGCCTTGGAGATATGCTATGGAAACAATGGCTGGGCTGTAACATATAAGTGCAAAAAACCATAATCTTTATGTTGCAACTGAGGCCTCTCCAGAGAACTGAAGCAAAGTAAAGATGCTTCTGATTGAGAAGAAATTTTTTTTAAACCAGGTGGCAGTCTCAATTTGGCTCATGGGTTATACTTTTCCAACACTGACAAATTTACTACACCAGATCATAGACTTTTTTCTTTCTTTCTTTTTTTTTTTTTTACTGTCTACTGAAGAGCTTTTTATTGTTTATTGTTTGTTTTGTTTATTATTGTTTAAAGTATTACAAATAGTAGCACATATGTCTTCTTTTTCCCCCATTCACCTCCCCCTGGTCTCCCTAACCCCCTGGCACATGCCCTCACCGCCCCCCGCCCCCCCCAGTGTCTGTGTGCATTGGTTATGTTTATATGCATGCATACAAGTCCTTCGGTTGATCACTTACCCTCACCCCCCCAACCCTCCCCTGCCTTCCCGCTGAAATTTGACAGTCTATTCAATGCTTCTTTGTCCCTGCATGTATTTTTGTTTATCAGTTTCTGATATTCATTATATTCCACAAATAAGTGAGATCATGTGATATTTATCTTTCTCTGACTGGCTTATTTCACTTAGCAAAATGCTCTCCAGTTCCATCCATGCTGTTGCAAATGGTAAGAATTCCTTCTTTTTTACAGCAGCATACTATTCCATTGTGTAGATGTACCACAGTTTTCTAATCTACTCATCTGCTGATGGGCACTTAGGCTGTTTCCAAATCTTAGCTATTTTAAATTGTGCTGCTATGAACATAGGGGTGCATATATCCTTTCTGATTGGTGTTTCTGTTTTCTAAATAAAGGACTTAAACGTAAGACGGGAAACCACAAAAATCCTAGAAGAAGCCATAGGCAACAAAATAGCAGACATTTGTCATGGCAATATCTTTACTGATACAGCTCCTAGAGCAATGGAAACTAAGGAGAAAATAAACAAATGGGACTACATCAAAATAAAAAGCTTCTGCACAGCAAAATAAACCATCAACAAAACAAGAAAGCCCACTGCATGGAAGAACATATTTGCCAATGTTATCTTTGATAAGGGTTTAATCTCCAAAATTTATAGGGAACTCATACAACTTAACAAAAAGAAGATAAACAATCCAATCAGAAAAATGGTCAAAGGACCTAAATAGACACTTTTCCAAAGAGGACGTACAGAAGGCCCAGAGACATAAGAAAACATACTCAAAGTCATTAATCATCTGAGAGATGCAAATCAAAACAACAATGAGGTACCATCTCACACCTGTCAGAATGGCTATCATCAACAACTTAACAAACAACAAGAGCTGGAGAGGATGTGGAGAAAAAAGACCCCTCAGGCACTGCTGGTGGGAATGCAGGCTGGTGTAGCCACTGTGGCAAACAGTATGGCGTTTCCTCAAAAAATTAAAAATGGAACTTCCATCTAACCCAGTAATCCAACTTCTAGACTCTTTTATTTTTTTTTCCAAATATGCTTCCATTGATTCTAGAGAGAGAATAAGGGAGAGGCAGAGAGAGAGAGAAACACTGATATGAGAGAGAAACATTCATGGGCTGCCTCCTGCACACCCCCTACTGTGGATCAAGCCTGAAACCTGGGCATGTGCCCCAACCCAGAATCAAACCAGCAACCCTTTGGTGCACAGGAGACCGCTCAACCAACCGAGCACACCATCCAGGGCTGAGAAGAACTTTTTATACAGTTAAGCTTTGCTGTGGAAACAGAAGCAATGACAGTAGAAATCCTGGATCCTGCTTGGGGACAGATCATGGAGTTACTGCCTGGATTTTGAAAGCTGGATTGACTAAGTTTGACTGAGCAAGCACCCTCCCCACCACTTATTCCTTCAATAGTTCAAGATAGAAGGGAAAGCTGCAAGGCCTCTTGAGATCTGCATTTTGTGGGCGGTCTTGAACATAGGACACTGCAAAGCATTGGGGTGAAGATAAAAGAACTTACCCCAGATATTTAGAGCTCTTTAATACCTCATAGTAAAAATATTGTTATTTTCTCCTTCTCTGTCTCTCGTTATATATGCAGATAGATAGATATAGATATATATATATACCAGGTACATCTTTATGTATATGCATATCTGTGTGTGTGTATTTCAAACCACTGGGAAGTATTAAGCTATTTACTTAATATAATATAAACATATAACATACTGTTAATAATTTAGTAACTATATTTTTATTTTGCATAGATAACTTAGGAAATAGTTTACTGGGTATCGTATTCCATTAGAAAGTGTGGTATATGGGGGTAGGGAATTTGTATGTCTCTTTGAAGTCATGTCCGCGCCCCTACAACAGTGTCTGGCTCATCCTTGGCACTCATGAAGTGTTAGTTGAATGGCGGACTGAATGACTGGATGAGTTGACATGAGCGTGAAGTGGTTCTAAGTCATTTATCTCAGTTACTGCCAATTCACTTTCAATTTGTCTTACATATATTTTTTGAAAACATAGGATATGTACTCTGAAAAATATATGGCAGTTTAAGTTTTACAAATAATACATATGAAATGCTATATAATGTTAACTTTTGTTATTATAATTGAATAATTTTAAAAACTCACATGAAGTGATATTGAAATATGTTGTTATGACAGACCTTTTATCAAATATTTATTAAATTCCTTTAAAATGTATATAAATATCCAGGAGACTGTGTGGCAGAATTGTAATACCATTAAAAGATTTTCTTCCCATTTATGTGTGTCTGTTCAATGTTAAAAATGTCTCAATAAAATTTCAGGCAATTGCCTCATTTCTCAAATAAGATGGCTAGTGGAAAGAGTATTGGACTGGGGGGAGTCAGCTGCCAATATTCTCAACCATTTTGCTGATTTTGTAAATTAATCTTTTCCTAGAGAGCAGTTTCCTCATTCATAAAGAGGATAAAAGAGATGATCTCTCAAATCCTTTTCAGTTTTGAAATTTCGATTCTAAGTATCTTAGTGTTTGGCCTTTTGTCTACGAGCTTCGTTAAACTCTCAATCACCAGGCAAAATGTGCAAACTCTTCCCCCGTAGAACGAGATGTACCTGCATTGCTGTCGGTACCTGTTAACTCCTGGGCAAGGGCTTCGTTCTCCGTTTGCCTCAGAACAGTCACAAACGCAGAAAACCAGTTTTCTTTCTGCACAATCCTTCTCAGTAGCTCTCTCACACCCGCCTCGTTCCCATTTTTTTCTGCAGCAGAAATCTGTTTTAGGAGAAAAGCAGAATTAAAAAAGATCAAACATCCTCTGAATGAATTTAAAAAGGAACTACCTTTAGAAAAATTGAGCAATTAAGCATAAGTATAAATAAAGACCTATTTCCAACACTAAAACAGCAGGGCCACTTGTAGCAGTAAATATTTTACCTCAGTTATTCTGAATAAGAGGTGCAAAAGAAAGGGCCTTTAATCTCTAGCCATTTTACGTCTGTTTGCATCAATTTCTGTCTGTATTTCTAGGACCTGATTTTTCCTTTTAACTCATAGAATCTGCAAATGGGAAACAAAACATTTCTTATCCAACTCCTGTTTCTTGACTATCACCATTTATGAAGTCATTACTATCATCACATATTCTTGCCTACTTAATATTTGCAATATTTATCATTACCATAATATTTTTCTTAAATTGGTATTTATTCCATATTATCAGAACATTTTATTTCTATATCCCCCCTTTTTTTGAAATAGGGAGCAGAATTATTTCTACATCTATTTGTTACAAACCTTAGCTTTCATTAAATTTCCCTTTTAATCTAAGCAAATTTTTCTAAATGTGGATCATTTATGAAATGATTATCACAGTGCATCTCCCCAGTTCGTAACATAGCACCAAACATTTGGAGAAAAGAGGAATACAAGCCACATTTCTACCAGAAAAACAATCAGACAGGACATCATCAGCTTGCTGTGCCTTAGGCAAGCTACTTCATCTCTCCGGGCCTCAGTTCCTGCATGTGTAAACCGAAGCAACTGAAAAGAAATGTCAGGCCTTCTCCATCCTTGTTGCACTAGAATCACCTGGGGAGCTTGGAATAAACCTGATGTCTGGGATCTACTCCCCAACATTCTGATTTATTTTTGTCTATTCTGGGAAACTAGAAAAAAAAATTTCTTTTTGAATCCTCACCTGAGGATATTTTTTCATTGCTTTTTAGAGGGAGTGGAAGAGAGAGGGAAAGACAGAGAGAAATATCAATGTGAGAGAAACACTCGATTGCTCACCTCCTACATGCGCCCCGACCAGGGCCTGGGCTGAGGAGGAGCCTGCAGCTGAGGTACATGCCTTTGACCGGAATCAAACCCGGGACCCTTCAGTCCGCAGACCCTTCAGACCCTTCAGACCCTTCAGGCCGACACTCTATCCACTGAGCCAAATCAGCTAAGGCTAGGAAATTGTTTAAAAAGCTGGTTTGGCTCAGTGGATAGAGCATTGGCCTGCGGACTGAAGGGTCCCAGGTTCTATTCCAGTCAAGGGCACATGCCTGGGTTGTGACATGCCCTGGAGCCCTCCCACCGTCCCTCCCTGGCTGGCTGGTCCCCATCGGCCCAGGGACTGGGCGAGATGCCCCGATCACCAGCCAGGCTGAGGGACCCCACCATGCACGAATTCGTGCACCGGGACTCTAGTGCTGTTATAAAGGCTTTGTATATATTAACCCAGCAACCCTAAAGAGTGTAACAATATTAACCCATTTTACAGATTAAAAAAATCCAAGGTGCAGAGAAGTCCAGTTATCTCCCCAGGGACACACAGCTAAGTAAATGGCTGAGGTAGAAGTGGATCCCAGCAATTGACTTCAATGCTAGCTTCCTGTACTATAATTATAGGCAATAGTTGTCTCTAATTTTATGTTCATTTTCTGGCAAGAAGGTTTAAAATGCCTACTTGAATTTCATAAATTGTAGGTGATTTCAGTTCATCTCCCCCACAGCATTTTCTAAGGAGATTATTGCTTATTTCTTACCTTTTTCTCTAACTTCATTAATCTCCTAATAAAAATTCTTTATCTTCGAAGGTGTTTGTAATCTCATTATTATTATTAAGTAATTTAATCACAAAGAATTTCTCAAAAAACAAGTCAGGCACTGTAATAAATACTTTGATTAAAAACCTAAGCATTTTATGTCCACTAAATTTTCTTTAACTGTTAATGAGTTGATTTTTACTGTAAAATTACATTTGTCAAACTTGTTTTGCCCTTACTGAGTTTAGGCATTTAAGGATTCTTATGCCATTATTTCCTATATGTGTTTTTATCATTTGAATGTAGAGCTACATATAATACCTGTGCAATTTTGTCAGCTTCATCAAGACCCTGAGTTTGTTGTTGTTTTTTGCCCTGACCAGTTTGGCTCAGTAGCTAGAGCGTCGGCCTGTGGACTGAAGAGTCCCAGGTTCGATTCCGGTCAAGGGCATGTACCTTGGTTGCAGGCACATCCCCAGTAGGGGGTGTGCAGGAGGCAGCCGATAGATGTTTCTCTCTCATGGATGTTTCTAACTCTCTATCCCTCTCCCTTCCTCTCTGTAAAAAATCAATGAAATATATATATTTTTTAAAAAGACTTTGAGTTCTTAAGGAATATCCCCCTTTTGGGTGCTAGAAAAAAATCAATACCCGTTGAAGCAACCACCCATTTTTTTAAAACTTAATCTGTTCTCCTAAAACCCAGTAAAGATATTAGATTCCAACAGATGACTGCTGAAATTCTTGGGAGGCAAATATTTAGCTTTGAAGCTGCAACAGGATTCCAATCTCCATACACTAGTCCCTCCTACCCATATATCACAGCTCCTGAAAATGGTCCTAGATTTAACTTTGTGTCCAGTGACTGCCCAAACAAACTTATGTAACTGATTTACTTATTCATCGATTTGGTTTAAATTTACAGACTGGCACAAAGGTGCCATGATAGGGAAAAGATTGGAGACTAACAAAGGTCTGTGTTTTTATGGAGCTTATGTTGCAGTGTTGATCAGTGTTTATTTTTCCAACAAATAGTGAAAGAATGTCTAGCTTATACTAGATACTGTTGTGAATATTGGTGACTAAGCAATAAGTACAAGAGTCACTTTATGGATCATTATAATAGAACTAGAGGCCTGGTGCACTAATTCATGCATGGTGGGGTCCAGCCAGCCTGCCCTGATCCGGCCAATTGAGAGGTTTGCCAGCTGGCCCTGCTCCCAATCGGTCCAGCTGGCCGGCCACAGTGTGCACCATAGCCACCGGTTGTTCCAGTCGTTCCGGTCACTTGGCTTTTATATATATGGATGATAGTTAACTGTAGGGAGTGCCCCTGTACTGATATGCTTCTGTTTTAGGATGCTAATTGGACATTTTGGCCCATTCACTGACTTAGACAACAATGAACTCTGGAAAAGAAGGGGTCACATAAACATTTCCATAATGTCTTAATATCAGTCTGAACAGCTGAAGAGAGGTAAACTAAAAGACCAAGTAAAATATGTCTACTGGAAAACAGGAAGAGAAATAAAAGAAAATATGATTTTTTAGAAGTTCTAACTACTTAGTTGAATACTACTTTATGCTGTTCAGAAATCAAATTTTGAATTCTTATGTTTATCATCCATCTATTCCCCAATGGCTGATATGATTCATCATATCATATGTTTGTATCTCTTATTCCAGACAACTCTTTGAAAATAAATTGATCAATCACTTAAATATTAACCAATCACTATTTATTAAGTACCAACCCTATATCTCATCTTGGCTAGGTTCTGGGAGCTTAAAGATCAAAGTTATAGTTTCTTCTTCAAATCACAGTTTAATCCAGGGACTTTAAGAAGCAGATCTCAATTTCAACATGGGAGATTTACCTAAATTCTCTAAATTCACAAGGAAATATAACCAAATGAATGATTAAAAAAAAGTCATCATCATCATCATCATCATAGGAAAATAGTTTTTTACTATTTAAACAGCTGTTTCATAAACATGATTTTGTGTTTGTTAATATTCTGAGAGGAGAGATTATACTATATAATAAAGAGGTAATATGCAAATTGACCATCACTCTAACACACAAGATGGCCACCCCCATGTGGACACAAGATGGCCAGCAGGGGAGGGCAGTTAGGGGGGACCAGACCTGCAAGGAAGGGCAGTTGGGGGGACCAGGCCTGCAGGGGAGGGCAGTTGGGGAGGACCAGGCCTGCAGGGGAGGGAAGTTGGGGGCGATCAGGACAGCAGGGGAGCAGTTAGGAGTCGATCAGGCTGGCAGGAGAGTGGTTAGGGGGTGATCAGGCTGGCAGGCAGAAGCGGTTAGGGGCAGGTGAGCAGTTGGGAGGCAGCTGTCCTAGATTATGAGAGGGATCTCCGACTGCCCGTTTAGGCCCAATCCCACCGGGCCTAAACAGACAGCGGCCATCCCTTGAGGGGTCCCAGATTGGAGAGGGTGCAGGCTGGGCTGAGGGATACACACACCACCCCTGTTCACGAATTTCATGCAACGGACCTCTAGTTATTATATTAATTCTCATGGGTAATCTTAGGATCAGGGAACTTAAAAAGTTGGTCCAAATTAATACATATGGTAAGAAACAAAGATATTAAGCCCAGGTTTTTCCATTCCAAATTCCCATGCTTTTCTCATTGCACTTTGCCATTTAAGATAAGCATTCATCAATGACCTCGGTACTAATAGCTTCTTCTAAACCTAGATTGCCCTTCCCATCATCCACCATAGCTTATTTTTTATTCTGATGATACAATTGAAATTATGTTTACAAAAAACATTCCAGAATCTCACAGAGACACTATTCCTCCTTAGAGAGCCTCGAATGCATAGCTCCTCTGTCTTTCAGGGCCTCCTTTGAAATATGAACCTGGGGGAAGAGTTTGGATTGCTTTGGCCTTAACTGTTATCAGTACACAAATGTCCTTTTACTCTATATCTTCTTTGTGTCAACTCCCTTGCATTACTGCTAGCTGCCTCCAAGCTTGCCAGAATCAAGAACTTGGATAGAATCTAGCTGGAGGAAATTCAATCCAGGCAAGACAAAAGTGATGCTGATAGGCAGACGTATTTAGAGTAAATAAGGAGAAGTGCTGTTTCACTGGCAATCGGGACACCATTCCCACCAAACATAAACAGCTTTGTGGTGTTACTGGACTCTGTTGCTTCTGGACTTCCTAACAGCTACTGTGGCTGGAAATGCCATCTTCCATCTCCAGCTGGCTTGGAGGCTGCATACTGTCTTCCAAATTAAGATTCTGCCACAGTGATGTACACATTTGTCATATCCAGCTGGACTACTATAATGCGTTCTAGCTGGTTCTCAATACACAACACTACATAAACGTTACAGACAACAGTGTAAAGTAATTTGCTTGTTGGGAAAACCAGCCATCAAAATGAGACGCAGGCTTAGGTCTTTGGACGGGCCGCATGGCTGTCAAATCTGTAAAGGAGCATTAACTTTAGTCACTAAAGACTAAGTCACATCATAAGCTGATATGAGTCCAAAGCCCAAAACTTTGTAATGAGGATAGAAACAATAAATAAATTAAAAAAAAGAGCGAATGAAAGAAGAAAATGTCAAATTCATAGCATGGTAGACAGAGCCTTTGATTTTTAGTCATGGGTTTATTTCCCTGCTTGCCTTTCAAAATAAGACTTTTGACCTATGACCCACCCTGAATATGTCTGATTTAAATGGGTCATCATTTCTACACTTTCTGTAGTACATTCTTACTCATTGAAAAACAATGATCAATACAACATTACATTAAGTGTAAAGTCACTTGTAAAATTCACCCTATCAAAACACCTAGAAAACCCACTACTCCTTCAGTAATATGAAAAAATTACAACTAGAGACATATTTTTCAATAAATTATCTCCAATTATGATTCTCAAAGAATGTTGAAACTTTAGAGGAAAAAAAGCATGTGTATCATTTGTAATTTTCCTATTTGGAACAAGACTAAATGGCATAATGTATAATATTAGCCAGAGATTGGCAAATATTTTCTCTAAAGACCAGATAATAAATATTTAGGCTATGTGGGCTATATAGTTTCTGTCCAAATGCTCTTGAACTGCAAAAGCAGTCATAATATATAAATGAATGAGCATGACTGTGTTCTAATAAAGCTTTATACACACTGAACATTTATAAATCCAAAACCATTCTTGGGTTTGGGGCCTTGCAAAAACCAGTAGCAGTCTGGACTTAGCCCATGGGTCATATGTTCTGATCCCTGTTGTATGGAAGTATACTAAATAAGACATAAAATTCCACACCATCGGGCCCTAAATCACTACCTCTGCCACTATCTTCCTAAGAAAGCTTGGGCAAGTTATTTACCTGCCTCAGTTTTCTCATCTGTAAAACAGACCTCATAACATTATTCGCCTCAATGAATTACTCTGAGCATGAATTCTGATAATACATTTCGAGAAATATACTAACTGCACATAGTAACTGTTCATTACATAGTCTCTATTGGCACACAATGTTATTCTAGAAGTAACTCTTTAGCTAATTTCAATGCAAGAATTAGGGGGAAAAAGCCTTTTTGTGTTTAAGTGTTTAAAATTATGTTTTATGTGACTAGATATTCTCTTCCAGAGCAAGGAGGGATCCAGATTTACCCAAAGATGTCAAAGAACATTTGGAACGGGGCCAATCCATGGGCCAGCCACAAGGGGCGAAACCTGCCTAAAAGGCCAGCTCCATCTGAGCGGACACCTACCCGACTTCTGTCTTCAACGGTCAACAGCTCCACGGCCACACATCTATCCAGGACATCTCTGACCAGCAGCCTCTCCACCAGGGTGGGCTGCAGGAGGGTCAGCAGTTGGAAACACTCATCGTTCGCGTTCTCGCTGGAGGGAGAGGGCAGGTCCCTGAGCTCAGGGTCCATGTAGCGGGCGGCGAGGGGGTTGCCTGCTCGCCGGAGGGCCTCCACGAATATGCGGGTCCAGCCCGGGGGCCAGACCCCCTTCGCCAAGGTGCTCAGGAGCAGCTCCGCGGCGCCGATGTTCCCGTGGGTGGCGACCCTCGTCTGGATCTGCTCCTTCGCCTCCGCAGGCAGGAAGGTCAGGTAGTCCAGCACGGGCTCCACCTCGATGTACCTTCTCACTCGGGCCCGGAAGCACGAGAGGAGATAATGGAAATTCTTGTCCGCGGAATGCCCATTCGCCATCGTTCCTTCTCAGAGGAGGGAGAGGTTCCCCCACCTAGAGTCCTAGAAGGACAGGTTGCTGTTCTCCGCTCAACAGGTGCTGTCAGCCCCGTGCCTGGGGGCAGCAGGCTGTGCAGCAAGGTGCCTGGCAGCGACGGGGCTGCCCGCAGAGCCCCGGATGATCCCGCCGCGGGGAAGTCGCCGCTGGCAGGTGAGCAGGTGGGCAGGAGGGCGGGACGCGGCTGCGGACGGAAAGACAGACGGAGCGGCCGCCTGGCCTCTGCAGTGCTCGCCGGCCCAAACCAGGCTGCTCCCCAGCGCATTCCGGTGGGAGCTTTAAACCCAGTTTGCCAGGCGGTTTCTGTTTCGATTCTCCGCTCCCGTCCGTCAGTTTCCAAACGTCAGGCGCAGGGCGGGGAGTGGCGGCCCGGTCCGAGAGGGACACCCTTTGGTCGGATCTGGCAAGGGCAGCGCTTTGGCCCAGGGCGCGGTGGGGCGTAGAAAAGGAAAGCGAACTCCCCCGGGGCAAGGCAAGGGCGCGGGGCAATGCTCTCTCTGCGGGATTCCGTCTTCCTTGCAGATTCCGCCTCTTTCCCGCAGCCGTCAGCGCACCCCCTGTCAGCTAACATGTGGGGGGCTGTGAAAGCGCCTGACTCGGGACTTTCCAGCCTGTCAGTGAAGAGAAACCCATGCCAACAGGAAGGAGTTCGCCTTTGCTGGGGAATGCAGGCAGGTTCTGGCCCCGCCAGAGAGGTAAGACTGCAAGGGACAGGGGGAGAGAGGAAGTTTCCAGAGGTGTAACCCCAGAGCCCCAGGATGAAGGGACGTCTGCACCTTTTCTAGATATAAACCCGATGTTCTGAGGGTCCCCAAGAAGGAACATTGTCCACAGGGAATTTCTGGGTGGGTACGAAAAAGAGTGAGTCATGATAAAGTTAACTTCAGTCCCTCATTTGCAGATTGCAGTATTTATTTTCTGCTTTGACCAGGGCCTGGTGATAGACACAGAGGGACTTGAACCACCAACTCAGTTTAGGAGGAAGCCAAGATTGAAGGTTTCCTCTCCCAGCATGTAAATTCCCCATATTCTTTAATATACAACTTTCCTTTAATAAAACAAAACAAAATCCCCCAGCAACTTATTTTTGACATAGCTGCCATTCTTTTCTTGGATTCAATACAGCAAGTTTTGGCTGAGGCAGCTAGGAACTTAATTAGCAACTAATGTACCAACTTGTAGTAAACATCAACATTTGTCTATGTCATGAAGGAAAAAAAAAAGACACCCACACTGAAAAATGGCAGCTTCGTTTTAGTGCAGAAGCCATATAAACACGAGTCCTTCAGGTTGCTGCTCAGGCATTCTGTCGCCCTGGGTGACTACGGGTGGTAGTACATATGCTTCATAATGAGAACCCCATGGTCCAGAATTAGATGGAGGATGGAGGGGTCATTTAAGCTATGAAAAAGTTGTGTTTAGGACAATTAATTTTTTAGCAAGCTCATTCAGTGATGTTAGTCTAGGCCAGGGGAACCTGGCCATGCTTTCGCCTGTATAAAAGAAATACAGTAGGATGTGGAGAAGAGGGTACCCTTGTGCACTGTTGGTGGGAATGCAGACTGCTGCAACTACTGTGGAAAAGAGTATAGAGTTCCCTCAAAAAATTAAAACTGGAGCTGCCTTTTGACTCAGTGATCTCACTTCTGGGAATATATCCTAAGAATACCGAAACACCAATCAGAAAAAAGAATATGTTTATGTTTATAGCAGCATTATTTACAATAGCCAAGATCTAGAAACAGCCCAAGTGCCCATCGACAGATGAGTGGTTAAAAAATCTGTGGTGCATCTACACAATGGAATACTACTCGGCTATAAAAAAGAAGGAACTCTTATACCTTTGAGACAGCATGGATGGACCTGGAGAATAATAAGGTAAGTGAAATAAGTCAGTCAGAGAAAGTCAAATACCATATGATCTCACTAATACGTTGAACGTAAAGAGCAAAATAAACTGATGAACAAAATGGAACTGGAAGCATAGAAATGTGGGACAGACTGGCCGGTGCCTGAGGGGGGTGACTGGAGAAAGAAGGTGAAGGGATTACCTAAGGAACCTATATGCATACCCCATGGACATGAACAATAGTTTGGTGAAGGCCAAGGGAGGGAGGGGGCAGAGGTAGACAAAGTGGAGAGAAAACGGGGACACTTGCAATTATGTCATTTTTACTTATTTATTTTCAGAGAGAGAAAGGGGAGAGAGAGAGAGAGAAACATCGATTTTTTGTTCTACTTATTTATGCATTCATAGGTTGATTCATGTGCCCAGACCAAGCAACCAACCCACAACCTTGGGGTATGGGGATTGAAAGGTTAGGAGTGGGCTGGAGTCGTGCACCTATGACATGAGGCCATAATGTATCAAAAGAGATTTTATTCTGACCACCTGGGTGCAGGTGGGCTGAGACTGAGAAAGGCATCAACGAAGAGAACAGGGAGTGATAGGTTTTTATTAATTTTTGCTGGCTGCAAGCCGCTCTGCTAACGTGAGGGTTTGGTCTGTCCTTGGTTCCTCCCATGCCAGACGTCTTCTGGTTATCTGAGCTATGTGGTGTTCAAGGTGGCAAGCTTTCTGCAAGATATCTGCTAAGCACAGTAAGTTTTTCTTTGCCCCATTCATTCTCTTTAACCCTTTCAGGGGTGACGCTCTAACCAACTGAGCTACCCAGCCAGGGCGGAATCTACCATAACTTTTTCATTTTATCTTTAGATTTTTTTAAATTAATCTTTTAGAGAGAGAGGCAGGGAGAGGAGAGAGAGAGAGAGAGAGAGAGAGAGAGAGAGAGAGAGAGAGAGAAACATCGATGTGAGAGAGAGTAATGAGCTGCCTCCTGCATGCCTCCCCTGCTCCCTTCCCCGGCATGTGTCCAGACTAGGAATCAAACTGGCAACATTTCAGTGCACAGGACAACACTCAACCAACTGAGCCACACCAGCCAGGGATCTACCATGATCTTCATTGCACCTCTTCTGGGGGAAGAATGTTAAAGAGACAAAGCCAAACCACAGGATCTCGAATGTATCTTTTCTCTTTATCTATATTTTTGCATCATTATTTACTTTATTTTTGGCCTTTTGTTTGAATACTTGTTAGTTTCTTCTAACAGCTATCATTTTCATCTTCCTTTTGTTTTCTAAATGTAAGTTTCTGTTTCCTTTCTCCTTTGAGGTGGAAAATCCTGCTGATCTCTTTTTCTTTTTCCTAGACCTGCCTATTCTCTTTAAACTCAAAAGGCACATTTCAGTCTCCATCAGTTTAAAAAGCCTCCTTTTAGTATTTTGTTCTTTAAATACTATGTCAGGAATATACTAGATAATAGTCCCACTGTTATCCAACTTTTCATTTGAGTTTTCTACAATTAAGAAATAGTAAAATAGTAAAAATCATAGCTGACAAGCCAGAGCTACAACTTAATGGCCATACATGGCAGGGATGCCTTTTCCAAAGAAAATGACAACAAATTTAATTTAATGAGGGAATCTTTTTAGAATTATTATTATTTTCCTTCACTAGTTTACTAATTGTATCAGTAAAGAGCCTACTCTGTATAATTTCAAGCTAGCCTAGCAATATAGAGTTGTGGTGAAGCATAGGGACTCTGAGCTCAGGAAGCCAGAATTCACATCTCAGCACTGTCTATTAATTGCTGTGTGATCTTGAGAAAAATCACCTCAAATTCCTCAGTTGTAAAATGAGAATGATATTAGTACCGTGTCATAAGGTTGTTAAAAGGATAGACTGTAAGCACTTAGCATCAAGCCAGGAATATTATATTTGCTCTATAAGTGACTGCCAGCATTCTTACACAAACAATGGATAAGAGATGGTACGATCCCTCAAAGAACATACACTTTAATAACTAGCCATGTAATTAAGTTTCTAGACAGAATCCCTTTTTGCAAGAAACAGAAGTTGATATGCTGATCTAGCAGAAAAGTTTATCAAAAGATACTGCCGTGGCTTTCTCAAAAACATAAGTAGGCCCAAAATAGAAATTCTGACAATGTTTACCAGACCATGATATACATTTCTTAATTACTTCCTCCAATTCAGTAATAAAATCTGGTTTTAAAAGCTTTTCTATATGACAAACAGTTTTGTCACCCCCACCCCCCCAAAACAAAAATCAAGTATCAATGGAAAATTTTTCCTAAATATCCATTTTTCCAAATGATTCCTCCACAAATTAAGTCTCTTCAAAAACAGTTACTTGCACATGTATTTGTGAAAACATTATCTTTACCTCAAAGGCGCTGCCTGGCCTCAAAGGCACTTCTTTGACTTAATTTAAAATAAGTGCTTAAGAGCAAACTACAGTAAAATGTAGTGCCATTGTCTTTGCCTTGAAACCCGGGTTGACGTTTAGCTGGTAGACAATTTGGAGTTAGCTCTCTCAACCTGTGTCCATCCGGATTGAGGGGGTGTCTATTCTACTTCTGAGTACCCACCCTGTAGAATTAATTAAATATTTTTATTTAACCTCTGAAATATTATTACTGACAAAGTTTTGGAGTAGGAGTAGGAGTGCTGTAGAATGAGTTATTGAAAACAAATATTGGGGTAAACCGAACCAAACTTTTGAATTGCTAAATCACAAAGGCTGGAACTAAAATTTTAAAAATAAAAAAGCACTATCAATTTATAATATTTTTTTATGATTAATGCACTAAATTATATCACTTAAATTTAAAAATCTTCTTTCATCTTCATCTGATTCCTTAGTTTTTAATGTTTATTTGTATTTTATGTTGTTGTTATAGTTGTACATGCAAAGATTTTCTAAATAAATAGACAAATATTTATTAGGGCTCATGTTCAAATATTTTTACTGGTAGGGATCAAGAACAAAGTACTTGAAGACCACACTCTAGAGAACCTCCTAAATGCCAGAGATTGTGATGAGTGTGAAGAGCAAAGAGGAAGAATGAAAGAGGAAGCTGTGTAGGTGAAAGGAGAGAGAACTCTGGAAAGAGATGGGTAATTCAGCATTTAATCTTGGAAGTACTAGAACATGCCAAGACTCTGGTATTATTATTGCTGTATGACAAATGTCAGTAAGTCAAACATGGAACCTGAATATATTTTATATCCTATTGTCAGACATGGTGTCCAGACACGTTCTTGTATTGAATATTTAAAAAAAATATTTTGTTATTTTAAAAAAAGTTTATCCTGTAGACATTTCAGGCAGGATATCAGATAATATTGAAGAAGATTTATGAATTACTAAGTAATTCCATCATCCAGAGATGGGCATTTTTAATATTTTAAGTGTATTTCCCATCAATGCTTCATTAGGTGTGTGCATGCATACACACACTCCATTTGTTCAACAGAGAGTGAGCTGAAATGGTCTCAACTGTAGAGAAGGGATCTCTAAGGAAGAGTTCTCTGTAGGGGGATCCTGTTAACATGCCAAGGGGAGGAAGAGCCTGTGAGAACTTCCTTGTGGCAGGGATATTTGGGCAACAGTTCCTAATCCCATACAATAAAGAGGTGATATGCAAATTGACCATCACACCCTCACACAAGATGGCCGCCCCCATGTGGTCAAAGATGGCCATCACAAGATGACAGGCAGGGGAGAGCAGTTGTGGGCGATCAGGCCAGCAGGGGAGGGCAATTAGGGGTGACTAAGCCTGCAGGGGAGGACAGTTAGGGGTGACCAGGCCAGCAGGGGAGGGCAGTTGGGAGTGACCAGGCTGGCACGGGAGGGCAGTAAGGGGAGACTGGGCTGGAAGGGGAGAGCAGTTAGGGGTGACCAGGCCAGCAGGAGAGGACAGTTAGGGGCAACTGGGCCAGCAGGGTAGAACAGTTGGGGATGACCGGGCCAGAAGGGGAGGGCAGTTAGGGGAAATCAGGGGAGCAGTTAGGCATTGATCAGGCTGGCAGGGGAGTGGTTAGGGGGTGATCAGGCTGGAAGGCAGAAGTGGTTAGGGGCAATCAGAAAGGCAGGCAGGCGAGTGGTTGGGAGCCAGCAGTCCCGGATTGTGAGAGGGATGTCCGACTGCTGGTTTAGGGATCTGGCCTAAACCAACAGTCGGACATCCCTCAAGGGGTCCCACATTGGAGAGGATGCAGGCTGCCTCCCCCCCGCCTCGTGCATGAATTTTGTGCACCGGGCTTCTAGTATTAAATAACAAGTTTATTCCTGTAGTGCACTCGTTGTACTGGCCTTTCTTAGTTCCAGAACTTTCATAAAAGTCTGCCAATATA